ATAAAATAAAATAAAATAAAATAAAATAAAATAAAATAAAATAAAATAAAATAAAATAAAATAAAATAAAATAAAATAAAATAAAATAAAATAAATAACAACAGCAGAGTCCCAAGTCTCCTTCCTCCTGGATTGTTCATATGCAGGAATATGCCTGCACAGATCCATGGGCTTTCAGTGCTAACACCCGCTGAATGTGACCAAGCACAAAGCGTAATGTAATGGTAAATAATAAAACATTTCCCTCACAATAGGAGGTAGCTATGGATATTTGCACTTCCTTCTTTCCCAGCTGGTGCTGCTTCCGCCTCATGCAGGGCTGAGCACCACGTAAAACCCACCCACCATCCTGCTCTGAGCACCATCCTGGAGAGAAGGAGGTGGCACCTACTCACCCCGAGATGAATCTGTGCAAAAAAGGGATCAAGGCAACCATGCCTGCTTCTCTGCACTAAAGGAAGCAGGACTGTGTGCTGCTGAGGTTGCCTGCTACCTCGGACTCCAGAAATCACCTACTGTGCGAATATCCATTTTTCTTTCTTTCTTTTTTTTTTTTTTTTTCCAAAATGACCTCTTAACTACTTGAGTATGTGCAAATTAAGACTAACAGGTAGCCTTATCAGATATCCTCAGACAAAAGTGCACTCTCACCACCAATAAGACCCATGTCCCTCCTTCCAGCACGTTCTTGCTACTTATGGTTCCTATTCCTATTAATATTTGCAGAGTTGACTTTGCTGATTGCAAAGCATGCAATTTACGTTGAGATAGCAACATCCACAGTTAACTCCCATCTCTGTCTCCTTTACTGCCCTGAGTTTTTGCAGTAAATCTGAGCAGCACTAGAAGCATGGTGAGCAGCTTACTTCTGCAAGCTCCACTCTGACCCTATTTTGATGGTTAGCATGAGATGTGTGCACTTCTGCCAAGGCAAGGAAGGTGGCAGGAATGGGTCTATGTCTATGCCACCCCCTGCACACTTCCCAAAATGCTGTCCCTGATCTGACTCATCAGGGTCTTCAGCAGAGGGCTGAAATGCTGGATTTGGATCTACAGAGCTTGCTGTCTCTCTCCACCTCGCTCCTTTTCCTCACCTGCTACCTGTCCTGCTGGGCAAATTCATCTCTTCGCAGCCATGCGGGTGATTCAGCGCAGCCCTTCTGGGAAGCACCACCTCCTTACTCACAGCACCATGAACTTTGTAGCGTACCCAGCCAAGGGTGCACGCTCTGGAGCTGCTGGAACAGTGCCACCCTTTTGGGTCAGCAGTGGCCACTGCTCCCAAGCTCTGCTGTGTCTCACGGCTGTTCCTGGAAGCAGCGTTTCTACCCAGTGAGCAGTGATGAGCACCCAGAGGAGCCTGCAGGACAGGGTGCCCTCCACGTGCTCCAACACGTGGGCATGGGGTGCCACCAGAGTGCACTTGTGAAGTGGGGCACCCTGCTCTTCCGCTGTGTCTCCTGTCTACTCCACCTGCAGAAAGCACCTGGGATGGCTCCCATCAGACCGCAGCAAATCCTTCCTTGACCTGAGGGAGTCAGAAACTCCCTCCTCTGACACATACCCGTGGACTTTCCAGGCTTCCTTCTTCTTCCTCATTCTCGGGCGAATTCTTGCTGCAAAATACCTCGCCATGTACTGCTGCCAATTTACTCCTTTGCACCCTGGGGGTTTGTTTCAGCAGGTATTTTGGGTGCTTAAGGACTCTCCCAACTGCCAAGCTTGATCACAATCAGGCTTAGAAATTGTTAGACATGGGGGGGTGGACAGACACGATAAAATTCAGCATAGTCCTAGACTTGCTTCCACAGAGAAGCAAAGGGTAAATAAGACCTTGTCTTGGAGAAGACCACCACCACCATCAAACCATGGAGCTAGTTGTTCATTTAGTTATGGCTGCTAAAGCAAGATCACTCAAAGTTCCTATTGACAGTATAAGGACATGCAAACATGCATTTTTCCTTTAAGATATATATTTCCATTTCCTTGTTCTCTCTTTCAGCAAACCATTTACCTCTATGAAAGGAAAAAGGAAAAAAAAAAAGTTAGCCACTATTAAAAAACTAGCCATTGTATGCCTATATTTATATACTTTTATTTACCGATACGCACCGATATTGCACAATTGCACACCTGGGCACTGCGCACAGCTCTAATTCGAGGGCCCTTCTGAGTAAGGACAAGACAGTGGTCCCGTGGGTTAAATTTTTTTTAAAAAAGGCAATATTTTATACTACTCATCCCCCAAATGGCATGATTTCATGGCACAGTGTCACAACAGGCCTGCAAAAATATGTGCTAGACACTTCCTAGCACTGTGATGAGTTTGTCCTGAACCCTCTGCTAACTTGCTTAGCTATTGCTTGCTAAATTTCACACACTGAGCACACGACAGTGTTGCAGGACGTCCAGCTGACCCGGCCTGGTGCTGTGACAGAGGTTTTACTCCAGATGTACCACAGGGCTGTGGTATCAGCTCTGCCGTATGAGCTGGTGGACCAGTTTTAGGCCGGGAATCACAAAGAAATGAAAGATTTATTTTACCAGCAATGTCAGGTATGTACCTGCTGAGAGCAGGGCTGAGCATGATTGTGATTCAGCGTTGGATTGAACTTCCACTGGCTTGTTGATGCTGTGCAGGTGAGGAAGGTAAGTGGCATCCGGCATTTGTTGTGGAACAATAACTGTAGGGAAAGGCAAAGGGAGATGGGTGGGAGATTTGAGGAAGAAAACGCCAACAGGGGTCTAGTAACAGCTCACAACTACTGGGGTGATTACAGGAAGGACAGAGGAAGCTCTTTTCCAGGAAATACAATGAGGGGTGGTAATGAAAAATCACCGCTTCACGGGTGTATTTTGGACACTAGGGAAAATGTTTCCCGGGAAGCTGCCGCCTCCCTGAATGGGCACCATAGAGGTGTGGATCTTTGTCTCTCACGGGGTTTCGAGCCTCTCTTGAACAAAACCACAGCCCCCACGACCTGATGCTGAGAACAGCCTCGCACCAAGCGGGACACAGCTGGAGACCCCCAGGGGATCCTGCCAGATCATTCCCGGGCCGCTGTGATTTTTCCAAGGAAAGCGTCCCCGCTTTGCCACAGGCACGAGGCAACAGGCTGCGGACACCCCGTTGGGCAGCTGCAGCCTAACACCCTAAGCACGGCACAGCGGGCGGTGCTTGAAGACGGGTCGGCAGACGGGCCTCGAGGGCCACGGAGCCTCCGCGGGGACCCGCGCGCGGGGCCGTCCCCGCGCGTTTGCGCGGCCGCGGGCAGCAGAGGAAGAGGAGGAGGAGGAGGAGGAGAAGCCGACGAGGGAAAAAAAAAAAAAAAAAAAAAAAAATATTCAATGAATTACTATTAAAAATGAGAAATATTGTATGTAGTTTGCTGACACGTCTGATTTTCTTTGTCTAGTATATTTTGTATGCCGTAGGGAAAAAAAAAAAAAAAAAAAAAAAAAAGGGGGTGGAGGAAGCCGAAGGGGAGGAGGCAGCGAGGGGCGCGGAGGGCGGAGCGCGGCGGCGAGCGCGGCGCGGCGCGGAGCGGAGGCGCGGGCGGCATGAAGGAGCCCTCGCTGCCGGGCTCGTCGCTGCAGCGGGTCTGCCGCCTGCTCGTGGCCTTCTGCGCGCTGCACCTCTCGGCCATGCTGCTCTACTACCTGGCGGGCAGCGCGCTGGGCCCGCCGCGCCGCGCCGAGCCGCCGCCGCGCCGCCCGCCGCCCTGCGCCGACCCCTCGCCGCTGCTCGGTGAGTGCCCGGTGCTGCCCGCGCGTCCCGCAGCGCGCCCCGCCGCGCGCACCCCGCCTGCGCGGCCCCGTGTGCTTTGGGAGGCGGTTGGGCAATTTCCTCCGGGAGGGCTACCCGAAATGCACCCCCCCACACACACACACACACACCCCAAGTTGCGCAATTTGTCGCGCGGGCGGTTTGCCCCGCGCCGGGTCCTGCCACCCTTTGCGCGCTGCTGCTGCAGCATCTGTGGCACGAGCCGCGCGGGTCTCCCGGTGCTCCCCGGCAGCGGGGCGGGAGCAGCGTGGGTTTTCCGGTGGTCCCGGGCAGGGCGGCGTGGGCGGGATGGGTTTTCCAGCACGGTCGGGAATGGAGCTGTCATGTGCCCGCTTCCCGCGCACCGGGGACCCGCGATGATACGTGGCAGCTTGGATTTTATTCCATGCAAGCTGCATTCCCGCTCCGGAGGCCTTCCCAGGCCTGCTGGGGTGCCCAAGGGCCAAGAAGCCGCTCTCCGCTTTGGTTCGGGATTTGCCTGCTGTAGCTGTTTGGAACTGTGGGCTTTGCATCACCATGAGTAGAGAGGGAAGAAAATTATTATTATTATTATTAATAATAATAATAATAATTATTATTATTATTATTATTATTGTTATTATTATTGCTACTGCTACTGCTAAAGAATTTCACTCCCTGCCCACCCAAACCATCCTCTCGAAACTCGCTGTTTGTAGCCGCTGCTGCGCTGGGATAGACAGTCCCTGGAAAGCAAGTATCAGGGAGTGTTTCACTGAGCCCCTGGCATCCTGGGCGCCCTGGCTTGGCCGTAGGAAGGGATTTGTGTCCTGGAGGCTGCGGGTGCTGCGGGCGCGCGGCATTTACACAGGCACCCCTGTCACGGGGGATTTCTGACGGAGGAAGGGACCCGCGAGCCACCGCGTGTGGTTTTCACGTCCCGAAACTGACACAAATTCACGGTTTCTCTCGGTACTCGCTGGTCAGCGTTTCATGGACCGGTGCCTCTGCATAGCAAACGACGGGTTTGTTGTTGCAGGAGGGCGGTTTTGAGGTCTGTTTTTGTTTTGTTTTGTTTCTTTGATTTGTGTCTTTCACTTTTTCTTGTGCCTCTTTGCTCGCGTTGACAGTGAGGCCGTGTCATGGGGCCCGAGTGTGGTCCCCTCTCAATCTAGTTTTGCTCTAAGCAATCCCCACTCGCCCTGATCCTCTCAGCAGCGAGTCACATGCCATGAAATGCCTGAGACAGCACAGGGAAATGTGCCTCGTGTCTCCAGGATCCAAAGCCGTACCGGGATGAGTAGCCGAGGGAATCGAACAAAAGTATTTTATCCTCTTTGATGCAGTTTGCAAAGTCTGCCCAAGACCAAGTGAGGCAATTGGGAGTGATGGCAGCTGGTCAGGGAGTTGCACAGAAAGTCATTCCTAAAGGTCCCCAAGGCAAATGATTTTTGTCCGAGGTGGATTTGGTGTGTGGGATGTGCAGGCTGCTATTGCTGCTGCTCGAGGGTTCGTAGCTTGCACGTAGGTAAGAAGCTTGGTTGCTCCAAGGTGCCTCGTTTCTCTCTGCCTTTTCTGGCTTCAGTGGCCAAGGGCACTTAGAAAACGCTCCTGAAGGGCTGGCAAGAGCCGAGTCCACGCTGGTGATCTTCCCGTGTGTCTCTGGGCGATATTTGCTCTCTGCAGGTGATCCCGGTGCTTCATTCGCCCACCCAGAATTCCAAAAATTCTTCTTGGGGTGCCCAGATCGTCCTATCGGTGTAAATGTAGCAGGCCAGGGCTAGGAGGGATCCCCCTCCAGTTCCCACCTTCCCAAAGTCTCATGTGGAAAGCAGCTCTGCCTCCTCCGTTTCCTTAGTGAACCTAAATTCAGAGAAAAGCAACACTCGTCCCTTCATTTTTAATGTCATTAGGAAGAATGTGGTGAATTGAAGAGGATTTTTGTGTGCCTGCCTTGTCTTTCTGAGCAGTCAGATACCCGGGCACTGATTCTGAGAGGCCGGGAGGTTTCTTTCCAGCAAAGCTCTGAGGGAGCCGTTTGCAGTCCCTGCTGCCTGGCTTGGGAACAAATGCATTAGCTGAATGGGGTTTAATCTCTTCAAGCAACTGCCAAACTTAAAATGCTTTTATGGTTCAATTATACTTATTTATAATTTAAAAGCATAAATCAGGCCTGGGGAAATAATAGCATAAATCAACCCTCAATTAAAAGTCCTTACCAGTTATGAATGTCCTCTGGTATAGGGTGATATATGCATTTTTGGATGCATGCTCCAGTGGGGAGCTGCATACCAGTGAATGTCTTAAATAGGTTCAATGTCTGTAGAAGCCGGGACCACTTAGCACTGTGGAAATGCAGCTTTTGAGAGGCTTTAAAGACCAAGGTGAGTAATCCAGCTGCATTCTGCACCGAGTCTTTCCCCAAGATATTCTCTGTGAGCCAGAGAACAACATTGTGGGGAAAAAAATGCTGTAAAACAGTTGTAAATATATGGGCCTAGGTGCTTTCTAAAAGGTCAAATGATGCTCTTTGACCTTTCTTTTCCATCAGAGCCTAGGTGATGGTGTTGGTGTTGATCGTTGCTTTTAGCAGGAAAGGAGGGCGGATATATCGCCTCGCGGAACAGCTGTATTCTAAAATAACCTCCATGAACAGCAGAGCAGCTGATGCAAAAGCAGCTCGTATCTCTCTCAGCGCCGGAAACCTGCAGAGCAGAATCTCGTGGAAAGGCTTATCTGTACGTCAAGGATGTCACTTTTCAGGTCCTGCCTGAGCGAGAACACGTGCTGTTTGTGGGAGTTATTTTAAAAGACAGCTGCTCGTCTTGGCTGTTTCTGGCCCTTCCTCAGGTGCCAGGTGTGGTGGTCGCAGAGCAAAGGGGTGGCAGATCAATCCCTGCCAGCCCCTCGGGCAGCTCGTGGCGAGGACGACACGTGTCCCGCACGTACTGCAGAAATGTGCCTGGATCAACAGCTCTTTACCCCCAGCATCGAGGCAGAAAACATCAGACATTGAAATTAATGGATATTGTCAAAAAAAAAAAAAAAAAAAAGTCGGTGATACCATAGGAATCGATGAATTCTGCAAAGCACGAGACACTAGATATGTGTTCATCCTTTAGTAGCGTTTAAAAACGAATGCGCTTCCTAATCGGTTGCCCCTCTTGCAGAGTTTCTCAGGCATGCCAGAAAAATAACCGCTCCTTCCTGATGTCAGTGCCTCGGGTGGAAGCTCTGATGTTTTCCCCTGTCAGAAAGGCTTGCTTGGCTTGAAGGAAAGGAGGAAAGAAGGACTCCTTGACGGTGATCAGCGCCCCACCAGCTGGAGGAGCAAAGCCTGGGACGAGGCCTTTCCTTTAAATGCACTTTTCCTGGGAGCTGGGTAGTCAGCGCAAGCAATGTTTTTAGGATTAAGATAAGAAATGACGATGTTGGGTTCGTTAGGAGGAGGCAGCGTGGGAAGGGTCAGCCAGACGGGCGGTGATCCTTGGTGCCAGCTTTGCACCAAGGGGTTACGTGTGGCCTGAAAAGTCAACAAATGCACAAATACCCCCCTAGTTAGAGGCCTTGGTGTTTGTGAACATTGCAGCCTAGCTGAGCATAAATGTGCCAAACTTATGCAAAACCCCAGTAGTTTTTAGGAAAAGTTATCGTGGGGACTTTTGCTGGTGGCAGTGGAGGCACTTGCTCCACACAAAGCATCCCCCCCCATGCCTGTTTCTCCTCCAACTCACTATTTGGGGCTGTATATGTGTTTTTCGACCTCCTTAGCCTTCCTGCAGCCCCTACGTGCAGCAGGGATCCCGCTTGCTTGCCGCAGCCTTATTGCGTTCCCGGTGCTGGGCGCTTTCCCTGGAAGGAGGCAGCGGGACGGAGGGAGAGAGGGAGGAAGCAGCGGTTTGTGCAGGAGGTGCCAAGCAGAGGAGGAAGTCGGTGTGAGAGCCGCGTCCCGTCATGTGCCCTCCGCGGCGTCACGGACAAGAAGCCGAGTAGAAACTTGTGGAGAGTGTGCATGGAGCAGTCCTCATGCCCAGCTTGCATCCATCTCAGAGGTCACTCTCCAGAGCCCTGTTCCCAACCCCATGCTGAAAAAGTGGGGTTTTGTGTTTTGATTCTTCCAATTGGAGGAGCAGCACCTCTAATGACAAGCAACCCTGAGGATGCTCCACTGGGATGCTGCAAAACGCCTTCCCCTCCTCCGTGTCCCAGTCTGCAGGGCTCCTGGCCGCCTCAAGGTCTCTGTTTTTGTATTTTTTTTTCCACTTTTCTTTTTAATCAAGGCAGCTGGGATTTCTTTTTCTTTGTTGCTGGAGGAATTTCATTTCTCTCCGGCGTTCTGCAGCTCGCTCTAGAGTAAACAAGCCTTACAGCCCCCGTGCCGCTTGGCCCGTTCCACGGGGGCGCGTTCAAAGCTGCTCCGTCGCGTGCGCCGGTTCCGAGCCGCTCCTCGGGACTCTCCGCTCTCCTCAGAAGCACTTTCTTGTGGAAGCAACCAAGCGCTCTGCTGTTTATTTATTTACTTATTTAAGGCACTCTGTGGCTGTTTGAGAGAGAGGGACCTTGTGCTGGAGCTGGTGATGCCTGGGGGTTATGTGCATATATTAAAATGTTTTTAAAAAAAATGGTGATTTTTTTTTTTTGTTGGTCATTTTTTCATTTTTCCCTAAAATATGTGTTTTTCCCTATGTCCCACCTGCGCGGTGGGATGCAGGGCCCTGCCTGCGCCAGGGATGTCCTGAGTGCCCTGGGGTGCAGCAGCCCCCGGGGGCTGCCCCATCATCTTCCAGGGTGAGGCTCATTTATGTGTTTTTTGTGCATTTTTTTGGTTTGTTTTGGGGGTGTTTGTTTTGTAGTTGTTGTTGCTTTTTTTTTATTTTTTTTATTTTTTTTTTTTATTTTTCCCCCAAGGAAGAGTTGATTTCATGTGGTTTCTCCAGAGAGGGGCTGCTACGTGATTGCCCCGGAGCATGTTCTCCAGGTGGCATTTCCCTCATTTCCCTGTG